TTTACATAATTTAGGCAGGAAATCTGACTTGACCTCCCCCCCAAATTGCACACCTTAATTTTGTTCTATATATTGGGGCTGATGAATACTGTAGCCATTGCAGACACCCCTTTTTGTCTCAGAGATTTTGCATTTTTGTTGAAAGCAGCAAGGCAAATTGTTAGTGCAAGCTCACAAGACACATGCAGGAAAAACTATTTGGTGACTAAGATACAATGTAAACTATGTTTTTTTGTGTGTGCCCGTTATTCCCTAATCCGTAATCTTTCCAGGAGTGCCCCTCAATTCCCTTTTATCCTGTGCAAAATTGACATTAGCCAGCCCAGAACTCTTGTTTTTGACTGAATGATGACACTCCAGTGAAACTGCTGGCGGTGGTGTTACACCTGCAACAGTTGACGGATTAATCTCTGTATTCCATATCAGTTACTTGAAGTAACCCTTTCAATTTCACTGCTTGGAATAATATTACGATAAATCTAGACATGATTGGACATTTCTTGTATTGACTGGATGTTCCTTTGTAGCTTATCTCCTTTTCCTTTATTCCATTTCTTATTGTCATAAAGCTCAAACTGTTGTATTTTTCATATATCCCAAACCTGACCATGGACATTCATGCGATTTTAGTCATGTTGTTTCCTTTTGGTTATCATGAAATCCCTGCCAACGTTGCAATTAATGAGGAACAGGAAGAAAGACATCACCAGGAGCGACGATTCAAACAGAGGTTGAACTTTACACCGGAATCAGATTAAAATGGAAGACACCTAGCTTTCAGAAGTGTTAAAGATAAACCATAAAAATTAAGAAAGGATAACCAGTGAAGTTAGATCAATAAGAAAATGAGTAACAATCATTGTGATAAATAATTTAGATTAGTTTTATAGGATATTTATTAATGTTTTAACTCTGTATTGTCACCAGAATACTGGGAGACTGGTCCTTAATCACGTTTATTCAGAACTGGCTGGTATTTTGTTTGTATAATGATTTGTAACAACGTAATAGGAAAAAAAACATGTGCAATTCTGCTGCAATAGAAGTGGATCAATGAGCAGGATTGTTCTACTGGTGTAAAGAGTTGTGTCTGGAACAACATGTATGCTGGGTTTTATATTAACTTTAATGGAAAAATAACATTAGAAACTTTGGAAGGGCTATAAAGTTGCATTTATTTTTTATTTTTTATTTTATTTATTTAGACATTTTCCCCAACAATTTGCATATCAGCAGATATAAGTAAAATGAGATGATCATTTTCCCCATCTGATTGTGGACCTTGACAGAAATACTCCCACACCGAGCTGTATAACTAACTCCACATTAGGTGTATTAAAGTTGCCCTGTCACAAACAATATAGTTGCAGGTTATATTTCCCTCTCAATATTACTGGGATAACAATAAAAGGTTGTCTACATCAGGCTTTCCAGGACCTCACCCAGAGCTAAACATTACACCCCTTAGATAGTTAACCGAATGCAAAAAAACAAAATCCTGCCGCTGTTTGACTACAACTTACGCCAGCCCCATCCAGGTTTATAGAGAAAAATAGAATTTATTACCTGCTAACATCCTATATTAAAAAGTATTTATATATTATTCTTAAGTACATTTAAACACTAAACCTATCTATAAGTATGGGGTTTTTAGTTTTCAATAAATACCTATGGACCTGTACAACTTCTTCTAGATTGATTCCACCAACCAAGGGAACGTGCATGTACTGAGGGTGACATCCTAACATGGGCCCAAAATTCAAATACAGGTTGATCTGGTAATTTATTCGACACCACATCGCTAAATATTTATTTCACCTTTATCTTCTCATGGCAGCTGCCCACTGCTGGTTGAAGTGACGGGCCATTGAGTGGTAATGGTCACCTGTAGGAATAATAATAAATAGTGACATGTTAAAATGGCACATAGGGACAAGATAATTTCATGTTTAGGGCTAAATAGTCAGATTTCTGGCGACTTATTTTATTCGAGATCTGTCTGAGTTCTCAAACTCAGCTGTATATATGCTTCATGATTATATTGGCCTAACATTTCTAATACCCTTTTCAATTCTCTGCAGTTTCCAGTTTAGTGAATAAACCATGTAATTTCAATGGTAATTAAATCCACAACTCATATTAGTCTTGTATTACATCTGTAACCTCCAACACATTGGCTAGAACAACAAAGGGATCTTTCTAACCCGCAAATATTCTATACTCCTGTCATAGCTCCTGTCTAAATCTAGAAATGTTATTCCTATCATTAAAGTCCCAGATAATGGGATCCAACCTTTATGCTTATCACTTCCTTTTAGTCACTTACCTTACAGGTAGCTCACTCAAACTCACAGATGAACTCTACCACTTGCATCTGATATCTCTCACTCAGACTAGCTCATAACACAAAGTCTAGCAGACCTTTTTCCTCTAGATACTCTAGGTTTACTCCTGGCCACACTACATAATATATATTAGAAGGAATAAAAAGTTGTCCATATTCCAGAAGGTCTGGAGTCTGGCCCAACATTCTATAAACAGCGCAGCCTATAATTGGTTTAAGATTGAACCCCTCTGTCGTCTAGAAAATACAGACACGTTGAGTCATCTGTGCATTCCAGGATTGGGTAAGCTATTGATTTGTTTTGAATATTTTTATTGTTTTCACAATATAAGTGCATATTGCGAACTGGTTCGTAATAAAGCCAGAGGTTGCCCACGCAGCGGCTTAAGCAGTAATTTATAGCACTCGTGAAGGTGAACGGCCGCCTACGTAGAGGCTTAAATGTTAGCACATAGGAATAAATGCAGATTATCGCCTGCGTAGAGGCGTAATGATCAGGACATATACAGGGAGTGCAGAATTATTAGGCAAGTTGTATTTTTGAGGATTAATTTTATTATTGAACAACAACCATGTTCTCAATGAACCCAAAAAACTCATTAATATCAAAGCTGAATATTTTTGGAAGTAGTTTTTAGTTTGTTTTTAGTTTTAGCTATGTTAGGGGGATATCTGTGTGTGCAGGTGACTATTACTGTGCATAATTATTAGGCAACTTAACAAAAAACAAATATATACCCATTTCAATTATTTATTATTACCAGTGAAACCAATATAACATCTCAACATTCACAAATATACATTTCTGACATTCAAAAACAAAACAAAAACAAATCAGTGACCAATATAGCCACCTTTCTTTGCAAGGACACTCAAAAGCCTGCCATCCATGGATTCTGTCAGTGTTTTGATCTGTTCACCATCAACATTGCGTGCAGCAGCAACCACAGCCTCCCAGACACTGTTCAGAGAGGTGTACTGTTTTCCCTCCTTGTAAATCTCACATTTGATGATGGACCACAGGTTCTCAATGGGGTTCAGATCAGGTGAACAAGGAGGCCATGTCATTAGATTTTCTTCTTTATACCCTTTCTTGCCAGCCACGCTGTGGAGTACTTGGACGCGTGTGATGGAGCATTGTCCTGCATGAAAATCATGTTTTTCTTGAAGGATGCAGACTTCTTCCTGTACCACTGCTTGAAGAAGGTGTCTTCCAGGAACTGACAGTAGGACTGGGAGTTGAGCTTTTTTTTTTTTTTTTTTAATGCTTTATTTCTTGCAATGACATTGGCTGCAATATATCATCAATACAGCGGCTTTTGCAAAAGCCAAAACATGTTTCTTTTTTTTGCATTCGAGGAGTACATGCTGCTGCTAAAACTGAATATCAGATAACGTATAACATGGCATAAGTTGGTGCCTAAAGTAAAACAGAATTTATGATTACAATAGATGTTCATTTATAATGTCATATTTCCTAACATCCTATTCTTAGTATATGCGCATAGACAACAAGAAATGAATAGTAATAGTTGCTTACAGTTGGTTATATCAAAACTGGTGAAGCGTAAGGTATAGATAGCATTCTACATGGTAATCACATAGGAGATGCATGTATGCGTGTCTAAGGTGGTAATTACGGTAGTAGCACAGGTTGATAAAACTTCATAGTTAGGCGTATTGACTTAAATCCTGTGTCTGCATAAAAATGAGAGAATAAGTAAAATGGAAAGTATAGCAGAGATCGGCCACTGGGAGTGTATATAGGTTGCCAGTGTTAGTTAAACCGTTAGGTGTGACACTACTTGCACACTGGTGTGATATATAGTGGAGCGTATTCGGCTCGCCAGTGATGGCGTAGTGCTGGGCTAAACGTTTTGTGAGTTACGTCAGGTTATACACATACTTACACATATATATATACACACATACATACATATATATATATATATATATATACATACACATACACATATAAAAAAAAAAAAAAAAACACTTTTGTTTCAGCCTTCTAGGAAGGAGAAGCATAAGTTAGGAAAAAGGGCCTGCGTGAGGTCCCCTGTTAAGCGCCAGTGGAGTAGTACCCCTGTGCCCCAGGGGGCCTTGTGCCATGCACGCGCAGCCGGGCATATCAGCACACCCTGAACTAAAATAATAAAGGGTGATAAACAATTTAAATAATATTAAGAAGGGGATGCAGACAGTACACGGGCTCTTCCCCCTCCCCACTCCATCTCGTTCAGTTATGGCAGTCCATAGTCTGATAAAGGCAGACCCTGGCAGTCATCCTGCAATATGGTAGCTTTGGCTCCCAGAGGGTCTTTGGCCCCCTTCCAGATCACCCTTCAGTTCCATCCTTCCAGCAGAGTGGTCTGTGGCGAAGTGGGCACTCGGAGAGTGAAACAGTCCGCGGGCCCCCCCCCCAGGGTCCACAGGCCATTCATCTCCTGCACCTCCCCTGCACCTTCAGGGACTCTGTGAGGCGTCGTCCCCTGAGATGTCTCTCCCAGTTCCGGCCACACACTTGATTCCGTCATGCTTTGCTCGCGGCCACCGGTACACCGCTACTCCACACTTTCTGGTTCCACAGGGCTCGCGGTGCTGGGGACAAATCTCTCCAGGCCCCCCACAAACCCAGAGACTGGGGACAACATGCCTCCGGTGGGTGGACGTTCCGGGTGGCTCCTTCCACAGGTCCGCAGTCTCCAGGGCTTATGTTCGGCATTTTCCAGCCCTTTAAGGCAGGTGAGTATTGTACCGTCATTCCCTGGCATATTAAAGGGGTGTTGTCGTCCCATAGGTCTGATGGGTGGGGGGGGGGTCGCCATCTTGGGCTGTAACTTAGGTTGCTGGACAACCCCCACCGTTCGGGGGGGGGGGAGCGGGACCGGGCCGTCACTTGCCGTCAGTTTCATGTCCCATAGGGCTATCGGGAGCAGCCA